TCCTCAAGGACAACCCAACAGTCAAGATTGGGTTGAGCAAATTCAGCTCCTTAAGGCCAGTGAATGTTCTACTGTCTTCTTCAGTGCCCAGAAATGTATGCTGCTGTCAATATCACGAAAATATCAAGCTCCTGTGTGATTGCCTCAGCAAAGAAGTCCCTGAATTTCCAAGTTATTCCAGTGAATTTGTCGATAATTTTGTTTGTAGCTCTGAGTCTGAGAAGTGTATGCTTGGAAAGTGCCCTACATGCCCTAACTACCTTCAAGGATTCAAGGATTCATCAGCAATGGACTCTCCCTCTGCAACTTGGTACGAGTGGGAAAGAGTTAATGTGTTGGTCTCAGGAAAAAGGTCCACCAAAAAGCTAGCAAAGAAAATGATGAAGGTGTGTAAGGAAGGTACCATCGAAGACGCATTGGCGAAACTGGAAGAGAAGATGCCCACCTTTTTACAGCATGTTTTTGTTAAAAGAAAACAGTCTCTTTACTTTGAAGAAAGACTGAACAATCTGACTGAGGAAGAATGTGTCATTCAAGTTGACTTTGCAGAGAACTATACCTGCTCTCATCAAGATGAAATCCAGACAGCTCACTGGGGCCAGGAGCAAGTAACTCTGTTCACTGTGGCTATTTGGACAAAACCCAAAGCCAACACTGACAGAGTGTGTGAATCATATGTGATTGTTTCAGATGACACTGATCATGACAAGAAATCTGTCACAGCATTCCTATGGCATGTAATCAACCACTTCGTCAAAGCCAAACATCCTTGTGTAAAGTACGTGTATGCGTTTTCAGATGGACCMTCATCTCAGTTTAAAAACAGGTACTTGGTCAACTTTTTGCACAAGSTCCAGAAGATAGTAAATATAGAGTGGAACTTTTTTGCAACCTCTCATGGCAAGGGCGTTGTTGATGGAATAGGAGCCACAGTAAAGCGGCTGGTTTGGAATGCAGTTATGACCAGGGCTGTTCCTGTAGTTCAAGATGCACAATCAKTTTACACAGTGGCTAGTACACTCCCAATGGCCGTGAATGTTAGCTTTGTTTCAAAGAAAGAAAGAGATGATGTATTGAGCTCTCTGTCTATGGAGAAGTGCTTCTCAGAGGCAACACCAATTCCTGGGATCTCTAAATTCCATTGCATTCAGCCAACAGAGGATGGGTTTGTCAACTGCCGTCTATATTCATCACAGTTAACATCCCAGAGTGATGAGCCACTACATGTATTTCCTTATGATAGTGATTTAGAATCAAGCTGTTCTGAAGTGGTTACTAGTGATGATGACTGTGATGACAGGYGTAGTGATGATGAAGWTTGTAATGAAAATGAAGAGGAGGAGAATGTTGACGAAGAAGAGAATGGAAGTGATATAGTGGAACYAGAGATAGACAGCAGGAATAGCGACGGAGAAGACAATGTGGCATCGAAGAAAGAGATTCCAAAGAAGAAAGTCAAYGTAAAGCTTGGTATGATAGATGATCTGTTAAACCCACTTAATCAACCATCAGTCGATTATTTTCTTCCTCAATACAAAATCAATGAAGKGGAAGYCATCCTAAGTGGTCTAATCAAGTTCAAAGGAAGTAATCTCATTAATCTTGAYGAATTGAAGAGTTTAACAAACTTTGATGCTGTCAATGCACAAGATAAGTGGCTAACAAATTTTGTGATAGACGACTACATGAGTTTGATCCAGTCTTCAAGTCATCTCAATGTTAAAGCTATTTCATGGGAGATCTTTGAAACAAATACAAGCTGCTCAATTGCCAAGAATCTCCAAGATTCATCATTTTCCACACTTGACCTTGTTGTTGTACCATTAAACAAGCGTCACATTGAGCATTGGTCTCTCCTTGTTGTACTTCCAAAGATGAAGATTGCTGCTATTTTAGATAGCAATTCTACTGACTTTGTCAAGCCATTATCTCAAAATGCACTTGACAAGATGAGTAATGTCCTGGAAGAGTTGGACTGTAATGTTCAAGAGTGGAKCTTTATGTGTAACACTAAAGCTGAAATACCCCAGCAGAGCAATGATTATGACTGTGGTGTGTTTATATGTTTATATGCTAGATGCTTAGCAGGCCTAGGTCCATTGGTTCAGGAATCTTCCTTCCGTAACTTCAGGCTGGGAATGGTATACAATCTCCAGAGGAGGATGCTACTCAAGATTCCTGAGTCAGATATCATGGTAGAGAAGTACTATGCTGTTGACTATCTGACCAACTACTACATTGGCAGGGCAATCAGCATTGAAAACCAGATGGTGAAGTTCAAGTACCTTTACAGAGTCGGAGCTGACAGATTTGATTGGCCTAGAAGAGATGATAT